GAGAGCTAGGTAGTCGCCATACCATGCAGTGAGAGCTTGGTAGTCGCCATACCATGCAGTGAGAGCTAGGTAGTCACCATACCATGCAGTGAGAGCTAGGTAGTCACCATACCATGCATTGAGAGCTAGGTAGTCACCATACCATGCAGTGAGAGCTAGGTAGTCACCATACCATGCAGTGAGAGCTAGGTAGTCACCATACCGTGCAGTGAGAGCTATGTAGTCACAATACCATGCAGTGAGAGCTAGGTAGTCACCATACCATACCATGCAGTGAGAGCTATGTAGTCACCATACCATGCATTGAGAGCTAGGTGGTCTTCATACTATGTAGTGAGAGTAAGTAGTCACCATACCTTTAAATACTTCAAATGCAGTTCTTTTTTTGTTTTCAGTTGGGAAACCAATCGTTGTTGATAAAATCAAGGAGCCCAGTAAAGAAGATATTGATAGACTACATGCATCTTATATGAAAGCATTGACAGATTTATTTGATACACACAAGGTGAATTATGCTAATTATAAAGACAAAGAACTTGAAATATTGTAAATTGTATTATTATATGATTTAGTGACAAATATAAATTTGTAGCAGTGAAACATGTCAAAAGATTCCCAGTAAGATAGATAACACACAATGACTGTATTTGGATACTTATAGCCATGGGAATAAATATATTTACATATTAGTTTACATATTACATAGTTTACATATTAGTTTGCATATTACATAGTTTACATATTAGTTTGCAAGAAATTTGGAGATTGTACTTCAGTATCTGTTTAAAATCAGGTCAACACAATACTGTGATTGTTGCTGCATTATTATATTTCATGTTACTATCCTCAAAAAGGACTTAATTATTGCAAAGGTATGGATATGAGTCCTGAATATACCTTAATTGTAATCTATGTTGGTTGATTATACACCTAAACATATCATAATATATGCATGCAAATAAGGCCTAGACTATATGCATGCATATGAGGGCCTAGACTATATGCATGCAAATGAGGGCCTAGACTATATGTATGCATATGAGGGCCTAGACTATATGCATGCAAATGAGGGCCTAGACTATATGCATGCATATGAGGGCCTAGACAATATGCATGCATATGAGGGCCTAGACTATATGCATGCATATGAGGGCCTAGACTATATGCATGCAAATAGGGCTTAGACTATATGCATGCAAATAGGGCTTAGACTATATGCATGCATATGAGGGCTTAGAATATATGCATGCAAATAAGGCCTAGACTATATGCATGCATATGTTATCTGTAACTCTGGGGCTCAGGATTCAAATCCACATAACATTTAAACTTCAAATAACTGCTCGCCCATACTGAGTTCTGTATTAGATCTCTTTATCCATTTCCAGTAGATCTGACAATCATGAAGTTTTTCTGAAACTAATTTAGTGCTTCACACAAATTACAATGATATTAGACGAGAGGTTGTTCATGAGTAGTAGATATAATATTGATGTTAAAAAGGTGACTAAGTGAAGATAAATTGTGGGGAGATTATTAGAAGTAGATGAAAGGCAGATATGAATTGTAGATGAATTTCTTAAGTTGAAAAATAGATGAATTATTTGTCAAAAGAATAGACTGTAATTAGCAATAAATAAATATATAACAAATATAATACGTGTAATTAAGCTGTAACAAATAACTTTTATTCATCTAATGTATTCTGCATGACAGATAATAAATAATCCACTTGCTATTTACTGTATTAATTGTTACAATAAAGTATATCAATGATGTAATTATATTATCTCTGTACTTCTATTAGATGGTCACTGAATGTAATCAACCATGTCTTGATCACAAGATATGACTGTGATTGACCATGATATATCCTTGCTGACAGCACATTATTACATCGTTATTGAGTTTATTTTATTGAATGATATTGTAGGTTGTAACTGTATGTAGTGTGGTGTGCAAATACTTTCTGGCAGGTCTGTATATTGACAGCGTTTTTTGTAGTCGATGACATTTGGCAATTTGATGGTCATAAGTACTGATTTACAATTCCTCAATTTTATAATTCATTGAAATAAATATATTTGTGGATTTATTTCTAGAAGTAGTACAAACTGGACCAAAACCTACAAGTTTTATAAAATATTGCCTTTTCAACTTGTGTGAAGCACACAAAGGGATTCCTGATGGTTAGTGTGTCTGTGTGTGCTGGTGTGGTACCAACATTGTGACGACTTCAATTTAACTTTACACCGACTTGTGACGACAAGACCTACATTGTGATGACCCTCACTATTTTCATAATTTATATTAATATTTAATCAAATTTAAGTAAAGTTTGCATAGCTTAGGTTTAGTAAAAAGGGAAGGTATGGTTCAATTTATATTTACTATAATAGTGCCTACCGTGTTTGCTAAACCTAAGCTTCGCAAACATTTCTATGTTCAGTCACAGGATATTCAACTTTTATTAATAACTAAACTTAAATAAAATGCAATTCTACTTCATTGAATTGCATTGTAATTGAGTTTAATTAAACTCCAATTAAAATGCAACCCTATATAGGAACGCATTTTAATTGAGTTCATATCACAACTATATTAAAAATTATTATGTGTGTCTGATATCTGAAAAACCAATTATCAGATTTTAATGAAACTTAGTACATTGATGCCCTGGCAAGTTTTTGGATGAAATCTTGTGCATTTTTCATGACTTAATAATTAGCACCTTTTCACATTTTTTTCACCAGAACCATTCAATGGATCTCAATGAAAACTTGGTACATTGCAGCTGTGGTATAATGCACAGACCTGATTAGTTTTTGGCTGAAACCATGCATAATAATGACCTGATATTTAGCTTTTTCACCAATGAAACATGGATAAGCCACATACATGTTAAATTTTGAGCTTACTAATTACCTAATTTGCATAAATTAACCAATTTCACAGATAACTTTAGTACCACTCATCAAATTTTAATGAAACTAGGTAGTTGCTTTTGAGTAATCCATACATCTCATTACTTTGGGGTTGAAATCCATGCATATTTAAATTACCTACTTAGTTTCATGTGACCTCAATATGCATAACTCTAATATACTAACCACTGCTACAGATAGTGATATGCAACCAGTGCTATAATGAAGACACCTAATATCTATGACTAATGTATCAGATGACTACATATGGTATGTATGTATGTATGTCTGTCTGTCTGTCTCAAAAAACACTTGAATGTCCATTTTAATAAAAATATTAGCATATAGTGTAGATGCCCTGGGACAATACACATACCTGATTAGTTTTTTTTTCAATAAATAACTAAAACTAATTTTCAACTTTTTCATTGTTATCAATAACTCTGTGCTCTGGGATTTGCCACTTGCATGTTTAGATTAGGGTTGAATTTTGTGTATATGGTGTTCAACATATATCTCTGGTACCACTGATCAAATTTGAATGAAATTTAGAATACAACTTATTTTAGGGTTGAAAGCCATGAATATTAATTACATATTTTTGTATAAATTTAGTCATGTGACCTCATTAGTATGCATAACTATGAAGTTTGTCTAAATAGGAGTGATATAACTCGAATTTCAGTCAAGATGAGATACAGATTGATGAGAGTGACAAGCACACTTCAGATGCATCTATCAAGAAGCATAATTGACAATGAAAATACCAGTCAACTTGAAGCTTCACATTTTTTTTAAAAAATGTCCATTTTCTCATTTCAACACATTTTGGAAAGGGGTGGGGTTTGTGATTCTGGTTTCCATCCCCACCTACTTTGCCAAAGAAGTACATTCCACACCTCAGAACATAACCTACCAAGATTCTATATTGTGCAATCAGTAATATGCATTTCTTTTAATAGTCATGAGCCATTTTCAAGATCTGTTACATGCAACACAATAGTAAAGTAAAACACTAAGATATTTTTACGGTTATCAGTGAAATTATATACAAATATATAAATTATAACAAGGTAGTATCTTATTGTCATGCAATTTATTTATTCATCATTGATTGCAACAGGGAATAACCTGATTGCAGGACGTACACAAATATATGTACTTCAATATACCAATAAAAAATGCACTGTACAAATCAAAGATGAATTTAAACATTTGAAAAAATTCTACAACTACTTTGCAATTTTCGATTTAGGATAAACTATACCAGAAATTTGTCTTTTGACTTAAATAACTCGAGGAAAATCTTTGATAAAGTTCAGGAGCTTTTAGCCATTTCAATTTTCAG